ATTGCTATCTATGAATGTTTCCCAAATCCGGGTGTAGGATTTCAAGCCCAAACAAGAGAACCAAAATATAAAGCAATCAAAGCAAATAATTATTCATGCAAAAGGGTGATCTAAGCCCTAAGGTTACTCCACTTTTAAATTTTCCCCAGCAGAGTCGCCAGTTCTGTGATACGGTGGGAGAACTGACTTGGGATTTTGTGTTTGTTTTTGCAAATGTTTCGGTTGAGCAAGAGTCTCCACCGAATTTTTATTTTATCCTAAAGGAAAGGTTAAAAAGCACAGGAAAAAGACCTTTGAGATGTTTCATGGGTTCGGGGAGTAGATTATAGAAAGGGAAGGTATTAGCACCCTTTCTATTCATGGTTATCCATGGGCTCTTAGTTACTTGCTTAGATCACTTGCTTTGCATTTTCAATTGTTTGAAATGGTGCTTTGTGTGTGATTTTGAAAGATGTTTTTGAAAAGAGACCATTGTTGTGGCAACCTTTGAAATGACTCGTGTTTGAGTGTTTTGAAAGTTTTTCAATGTTTTGAAAAGTTGTTTGGAAATTGTATTGTGAGGTGTGTTTTTGAAAAGTAGCAAGGATGTTTTCTTTGCAAGTTTTGATCAAGTAACTAAGAGTTGTCTACCCTTAAATTTACTCAAAGATTTTTTCTATGTTTTAACCCTTTTAACAGTATTGTTCCACCATTGTATTTGGTGGACAATCTTGTGTTAGGATATTAACGGGACGGGCGCAGGTCATCGTATGGACCATGAATGCAATGGTGCCAAGTGTCTTTGGCAACTTTTCCTTTAAGGGACTTGATCATTTTTAGGCAACTTTCGAAAGCGTCATCGAGGGACTATGATCATTTGATTTGTTTTTGTTTGGCCAAAGACACTCAACATGCAAGCATGGCCCATTTTTGAAGGCAACAAGTGGAGTAACCCTAAGGGTGCAAGTGTGATTGGTGTTGTCCATTTTCATGCTTGTTTATCTTTGAATTAGGTCAAGCTATTTGTTATTTGATTTTTGCATACAAACCCTAGGTCTATCATGGCATACTTAGAAAGCTTTTAAATGCGGAATTTTAAAGCCCTAGACTATTACAACATGATTATGGGGATGGGGGTACAAATGTTTGAATGGGGGTATTTGACAAGAAATTTAAATCTAGGCTATTACATCCATATCGAATATACAAGTATTTAAATATACAATATTTACAATATAAATAAATATCAAAATGCAATGTATTATGCATAAAAATGGTCTTTTATGTATGTAAAAGTATTTTTCAATGTAATAAATAAACAAAAATAAAAAGGTTATCTTTTTTGATATTTTCATGTCTTTAGGGCAAAACCCTAATTTTTTTTTAATAAATGGTATTTTACTTATTAATATTTATTAATTATATACAAAAATAAAAAGTATTTTTTGATGTCAAATATTAATAAAAATAAAAGAGTATTATTTTCATGTTTTTGTCCTAAATATTCTAATAAATATGTACAAGTAATATTTATGTATATTTAATAAACTAAATATATATAAAAATAAAATATTTATTATTTACCAAAAAAAAGTATATTTTGATAAAATGTTTTCAAAAGGTAAAATAAAATAATAACTGAAAATAAATATATTTTGTATTATTTTTTAGTGTCTTAAATAAAAGTATATATATATTTATTTACATACACATGTTTAAATAAGCAAATAAATGCCAAAAAAATATAAAATAATGTGAAAAAAAATATTTTTAATGTTTTTTATGTATTGACAAAAAATATCAAGTCAGAAGAAAAAATAAAAAGTCAAAAATAATCAAAATATCACACAATGGGCCAAGGGGTGCAAAATGAGAAAAGTGGTGCAAACAGAAAAACAACTCAGGCCCAGCCCAAGTGGCTTGTCTTCAACCTCCAGCCATTCAAACAGAAACAAAAACACGCGTTTCTTCTTGTCAATCACAGATCCTGATTCCTTGACTTTTAACAAAAACTTACAACATCAATAATGTAGAGCATCAAGTCACGGTTTCAAACATATAAAAAAGTTGTTCTAACTCTCAGAAACGAGAGAGAATTTCTCCTCCCCCAATTTCTGACCTAACTTTTCTTCCATGTTTAAGTTCAAAATTCTCACAGCACACACAATATAAATGAAAAGTAACTACATGGATGGCTTCAGGGCTATGAGTAGAACATGCTTTCTTCACAAACTTAAGCCTAACTATGCCTGGATAGAGAGATAGAAGTTCAAAATTTTACCTGTTCAGCTTGAGTCGTGTGCAGCAATGGAGGTACCTTCAATGGAGTTTGAGGATTTGTACAGCTTGCCTGAAGTCCAAGGATGCTCCTCCAACCTCTAACTTGCTTTGAAACTAACTGAATCGAGCTATGGAAGTCAACCTGCACAGCTGAAAAGTGAAAATGGCAACCTTGGTTATGGATGTTACAGTTCAAGTTTAATGTTTGGAATAGCTTTAATGGATGGTGGGGAATGTGTTTGAAGAGGTTTTAGCCAAAATGCACGACAGGAATGGACTGTGGGATTCAAGTTGCAGCCTATGCCCTGTTTTGCCACAAAACTGTGATTTTCAGTATGAGGAGGGATCAAGGGTATTTTGGTCGTGTTTTAGGTCAGTTAGGGAGTATGAAATGTGTTTACAAAGTTTTTTTTTGTTGGTCTTTGCAGGAATGTGAGTTATGGTTCAATATGCAAGTTTCATTCTAAGATAAGCAAACATAGTCAAGTTGGGTTATAGGCCAATGCCGGTCCCTCAAGCATGCTGCATTTTCTCTTCTTGATCAGTGGGATTTGTCCACAAACTTGTGCCTCGAAGATCTGCTTGTACTTCCAAGATATGGACTTTGACATAAAGCATTGCTTTTTCCATTTAAATGTTAATTCTTTGTGTAATGACTATATGAACAAAATAATGCTAGAACACAATGGATTGGCATTTAATTATTGAGTGTGAATGGGATTAGAGGCCTGTAATCTAGCTTGAACCATGCTGAGTTTGAAAATGCAAAGTGTATGAACATGCCTTGGTCAAGAACAAAAGTGGATTTTACCCAACTTTGCAAATTCGATTCTCCCTAACCACAAGGGTGTTTGGGAAGTTCTTGGACAATTTAGAAATCTTGGAATGTGTACTACAATCCATCTTTGTAATGCAAATTGAAAATCCAAGTGGAATCATGTGGAAAATGGCCATGAAGTTGGGCAAAAAACCTGCCTAGGATAGGTCAAAATTTCTCTAAGTTAGAAATGTTTTGCACCCTTGTTCCAAAAATCATAACTTGAGCTACAAGCTTCTCTTGAGGAAACTTTGTGAATCAAAGTTGTAGATTTTGTAATGGACTACAACTTTCATGTTTTGAGTTTTGTTTGAATCCATTTGAATCTTGGTGAAAAAATGGGACAAAGTTAGAAAAAAAATAAGGAATTTTCATAACTTAGAAAAATTCTAAGTTATGAAATTTTCTCATTTTAAACCCTAATTTGCAATTTTGGGTTTCTTGATGAACAAGTTTCATAATTTGACATGTCTTGATGAAAAATGAATCTTGGCACTTGATTTTGACCAAAAAGTCAAAGTTTGACTTTTCAGTATACAGTCAAATTTTGATCAGTTGACTGGAAAATTCATCTGTCAATCCTGTGCATTTGGGATCTTTTGAGCTTGTGGAATGTGTCAAGACAATGCCATTGGGTCCTTGAGTCCATATGTGAGCTTGGTTTGCCATTGGTTAAGTCAAACAGTCAAAAATTGCCTTTGTGCAATCAAAACTCTAAAAATGACCATTTTGCCCTTTTGGTGATCTGATCAAATTTCTTGTGGAATTGTGATCCAAACTTGACCAGATGGTTCATATGAGTTCATTATGTTGATGTGGGTCAAATTTCATGAGGTTTGACTGTTAATTGGCCACAGTTGACTTTTTCTCCAATACAGTTGATTTCTAGGTCAACTGTCCAATTGACTGGGCAAAGATTGGAATCAAGGCTTGAAACTTGGTCTGGATAAACTTGTGAGTCCAACATGAAGCATGAAAGTCACTTTGGGCATTTTGGGTCAAAACATCTTTGTGCAAACTCAAACCCTAATTTGGGTCAACAGTGCGAGGAGGGGTCTTGAGCAGAGCAAACCCTAACTTGATCTTGAGCTCCAAGGGTCTTGTGGTGAGAAAATATTGATGAAATGAGAGGGCAAATTTTGGGGTACAACAGGTAACCTAAGGTCATGTCCATGATATTCACGTCCCATCATGATATCAAATTGCGAGTATTTTTACAAAAGGTCTTCCCTTTGTGGTGTTTCAAGATTTCAGAGATAGTCTCAGCGTTCGTCAACCTCTCACTTCAACTACAGAGAAATATATGTGTATATTCATTGTATGTATCATATTCATTAGATTATATTTATCAGCTATTATTAGTATTCATATAGGGGTTGACAATATAATTCACAAATCTAAAAATAGAATTATATTCTTATAGATTTTATCACAAAAATTACTAAGAGCTACAAAAAGAAATACATGTACAAAATGATAAAAATTGATATTTTGTTGAAATTCACAAATTATACAAAAACTAAATTTCTATATTGACCTACAAAGATTAGTATATGTAAACACCTATGGCAATGCCTTTAGAAAGCCATATGTGATTAGAAAGTTTTATAATCAATTTCTAAATTAAGGATTAGTATATGCAAACACTTACGGCAATGCAATTAGAAAGCCATAGTTAGCAATAGTAACTTAAAATCAACGGTTCAAACTCTTGCATGGTTTATACTAACAAATTTGCCAACAACCTTAAAAACATTCTATTTCATAAGTGAACCACCACGATTCAAGGAACTTTTGAAGATAATAATAATAATAGTATATATATAAAGTTCAATAACCTTGCTTCATCTTTATCATCTTTATCCGGTTCTCTGTTTTTTTCTCTGTTTCTGCATTGCGTCTCTGTCTTCTAACATAAATAGCAATGACAGAGACGCAAGCGAAAGCAGAAACATCTGTTACATTTTCAGATCCGGTTGTAGTTGAGATACCATCAAACAATGCCGTGCCCAACAAGTCTTCCGAGAAGGCTAAGGCTGTTGAGGAGCCTGAGAGTGAGTTTCATTTGCATGTTCATGTTCATGTTTTGTTATTTTCTTTGTTTGATCAGTTTTCAATGAAAATAAATTTTGGGATGTTATCAAAATCTGGTTTTAATTGGTTATGCAGAAACAGCAGAGACACCAGCTCCTGCAAACAAATTAAGCTCAAAAGGAGGATCTCTAGATAGGGGTTAGTATCGACTCTTTTGGTACTACGGTGAAATTGACAGAATCGCGATAAACTAAAAACTATACTTTAGAGTTTCAGAAAACTCGCAGTTTCAATGCAATATTGTCAAATTCGTCGATCATTAGAACATACACTATATCATATATCGTCTTCATTCGTAACGAATTGTACTTATGTACATTTTGGCTATATACAGATATTGCTTTAGCCGAACTTTCCAAAGGGAAAAAGTTATCCTATGTGAAAGCATGGGAAGACAGTGAAAAAACCAAAGCAGATAACAAGTAAGAATGTTTCATGTGTTTTTGAGTTTGATGGCGTTATTGTATGACACAATAATCATAATATGTTCGTTCGCAGAGCTGAAAAACACATCTCTTCCATTGCATCTTGGGAAGACAGCAAGAAGGCAGCTCTCGAAGCCGAGCTCAAAAAAATCGAGGTAATGTTTACCTGATTATCAATACTACAAAATTGATCGTGCAATCCCGCCTAACTCATGAATAACAAATTATTACATGAGCAGGAAAAACTAGAGAAAAAGAAAGCACACTATGGTGAAATGATGAAAAACAAGATAGCAGCAATTCACAAGGAAGCAGAAGAGAAAAGAGCAGTAATTGAAGCCAAACGAGGCGAGGAAATTCTTAAGGCAGAGGAAATGGCTGCAAAATATCGTGCAACTGGAACCACTCCAAAGAAAACAATTGGCTGCTTTTGAATACTTTTCTTCTTCCAAAATAATTTTCTAGTTGCACTTTTTGTCTATATTTCTTTGACCTCAATATGTTTCTGTTTAAAATAACAGAAGAAAATTGCTCAGAGAATAAGCAAAGTTTGTTAATGCCTTTTGTAGATCATTGACTTACATTCGATTATGGTTTTATCTCAATCACACAATTTTTACATCAGATTCAACAACAAATTATATAGTTAATGTAGTTCAAATATGTGGTTAACGCAACCAAGTACTAATTAGAAAGCTAGTACATGATACTACAAATGACATAGATATACACACAACCAGAAAGAAAAAAGTGAAATTAGTCGGAAATTTATAGTAAAATAAATATGAAATATGTTTCTAATTCTGTCACAAAATTTTGCGACAGAATTATAACATATGTCATTTTTCAGGGACTCTAACTAGTAGCAACAAAGACCTAAAGGGGTTAAGCAAAATAGTTTTCTAAGAAGCTCATATCGTTGTTCATAGGAAAATCGAACAAGAGCTGCAAAGCAGTGTCTGATGAATCTTCCAAGTCATTAGAGCTTGTTGAATCAGATTCAAGAATCACATTTTCAGCGCAAAACTTATCGTTTTTCCACTCCGATTCTTCTTTCACGCTGCTGCTTGCTGTGACAGCAGAAATAGGACTCTGACAGCGACTAGTTTTGGTATCATGATCGGTATCTGGTTTTTGAACATTGCGAAATGCATCTCCAACTTCAGAGTTCCACATTCGGAGAAAGTAGTCAGAAGAAGAATCAGTTTTTTCAGGGGAATTATGATTGTTGCTGCTCTTGAAGTGTGATGATTCAGTTGAGAGTCTGGCTTCTGCTTCGAGCCTTGCACTCTCCCATTGAGCCATATGACGTGTCAAAACCGATGCGTGTGACTTGTGATTGGGGTAGCTAGTTGATGAGGCTACTGGCTCGTGTGTTTTTGGATCAATCCCCATGCTTTTGAGACGCTTCTTCAAATGCGTGTTCCAAAAGTTCTTTATCTCGTTGTCTGTTCTTCCTGGTAACTGAGATGCAATTGCAGCCCACCTGAAATATTGTTAAATTTTTCGAAATGAACTCAGAATAAGATTTTTGATCTCATTAAGAAAATGAAAATTTTGAAAAGAAGCTTAGTAAATGCTTAACTGTTTACCTATTTCCTAGGATGGCATGAAGTTGTATGACTTGTTTTTCTTCCTCAGGAGTAAAGGGTCCGCGTTTAATGTCGGGTCTCAGATAGTTGGTCCACCTAAGCCTGCAACTCTTACCGCAACGAAGAAGACCTGAAAGCAAAACAATAATATTAGTATCAAACCATTAATTAGAACTTTGAAGAAAAAGTGTCCAAAATAAAGGAGTCATGGTTTGGCAATTGGCTAGCTGATCTAGAGTAATGAAAAATGAAGCAAAAGTTTTGGTTAGGAATATATAATATACCAACATTCTGTTATTCCGAGTGGAACCGGATTCAGATCCACTAAGATATGTTTCAGGCATGGTTTTAAATTGCCGATGCAGTTGCAGTTGCGGATGTTGGTCATAGCAATTACTACTGCGACGCGTATTGCGTGAATATGGCCTAATTGGTAAGTGATGTGTTTTCATCGCCAAAAAAACATGCAAAAAGGGAAGAAAACCTGTGATTTTAGGGAGACAACGCCAGCTTCCATGACCACCATTTTTGTTGATATAGTTAGCAAGAATTTCATCCTCTTCAGCAGTCCAAGGTCCTTTCTTCAAACCCTTCTTGTCACAACATGGTGCCCTTCCCATTCTTACTTTTCTCTTTCAGCTCTTAACAAAAGCTAGCACACATTAATACAGAAAAGGTGAAGACCAAAAAAAGCAGAATTCAAAGCATGTTTTCATGACTTGAAGATTCTGAGAGTACTGTGAGATACGAGCTAGTAATAAATAGGGAAGAACATGGATGTTGAAAAAAGTGATCTGAGGTGGCATAATAACTGGATAGGGGCATGCATCAGCGAGTTTCAAGCTGGATTTATTAGCAATAAATGCAAGTTCTGTAGCATTGGTGAAGTTGCATCATCATCATCATTGTGACAAAACTTTTTGCAATTTTTTTTGGTTTTCAATTTACACAGAACTAGGATGAGAGAGAGATTGCAGTCAAGATGATAGTGATAGCATTAATGGTTTAGACAGAACAACTATGAATGCATTTATGTTGGATTCTCTTGCAGAAAAGTCAGCGTGAGATTGAAAACCAACACAGACAGTTAAAAGAGGAAGGACATTAGCATTAATGGAGGGTTCAATTATTAATGGCTTGCACAGGGTACCAGCACAGTCACACACCAGGAATTGAATACTTGAGTAATCTACTTTTAGACACTAGCTTCGTTCATCTGTTAGCACATGTGCAATGGGAGAGGCCATGATGGTCCACACCAAAGATAACATGTAGAATGTGATTTTGGTGGTTTGATAGCGAAAATCTAATAGCGTATGTTTTGTAGATCTTGAATAGACTTTAATACCATATTCAAAATTGAGTTGTAGTTAAGATGCGTTGTAGTCATAGAAGAAAGCCGATAAGTGCGATCAACATATTATTGTACGGCGAATAGATGGTGGTATCATCCGTGGGATTTCTATAAATATTCGAAATGGAATGATGCCATAAAGAATTTTGATTCAAACATTAATTTATCGTGTAGTAGTTGACAATGTATATGTATAGATAGGTTAACGATGCATTTTTTGTTAAAATCAAGATATTGAAATTAGACTTATCAATCTTCAGCTAAATAAGATCTCATAGTATTTTCATTGCTAACATTTGTGTAAGTTTCTATAGTTAGACTTCCATCTCTATTAAATAAGAGTCTTCTTTCTATAGTGATTTTGAGATATTTTAGAACACATTATATAACTCAGAAGTATCTTTCCCTTAAATCATACATAAATTGGCTGACTTCACTAGCTGCACATGTCAAATCTAACATATTATGTGACAAAGAAATCAACTTTCACACTAATCTCTGATGTTGGCTCTTATCACCTTTGACAATTTTATCCATAAAGCTTATCTTATTATTTTCTTTAATGAGAACACTTACTAGTTTGCATCAAAGTTTCTCGATTTCTTGCAAAAGATCAAACACATATTTCATATGAGAGAAAGATGATTTATTTTGAATAGACTACCTCAATTCTCAAGAAATATTTGAGCTACTCAAGATATTTTATCTCAAACTCCACTGATAACTAAATCATCATATGTAATAGTAAAATTATCAATATAAATAAGAAGTATAGTTAATTTTCCTACTTCTGAATGTTTAAAAAATAAAATGTGGTCTCCTTGAATTTTCTTATAACCTAAACACACCATGGTCTCAGTAAATCTTCTAAACTAGACTCGAGGAGATTGTTTTAATCTATATAACTCCTTGGTCAATCAACAAATGTTGTTGGTTCCACCCATATGACTAAATTTAGCTGGAATCCCCATATACACATCATCGTCGAAGTTTCCATGTAAAAAAGTAATTTTTACTTCAAATTGTCATAGTTCCCAATTACAATGAGCAACCGGAGATAATAAATAATATGCGAATAATATTTGTCTTTTCGAGCAAATATCTCCTCATAAGCAATGTCATATGTTAGAGTATACCATTTTATCACTAGTTTGACCTTTTATAGATCCATAATATAGATCCATTTGCAACCAAATGCCTTCTTACCTCTTTGTCTCTCAAAAATCTCTCAAGTATCATTTTCTTCAAGTGCTTTCATTTCCTCATTTGTAGCTTGAACCCAATTTTTATTTTTCAATTTCTTTTAAACAAATGATAAAATTTTCACAGAGTCAACGACTATAATAAAACTATGATATTGTGGAGACAATAGCTTAGAAGATATATATATATATATATATATATATATATATATATATATATATATATATATATATATATATATATATATATATATATATATATATATATATATATATATATATATATATATATATATATATATATATATATATATATATGTGTGTACTTACTCTGATTCATATAATATATTTTGTTTCTAAGTCGAATCGGGCTTACTTCTTTTTTTTATACTAGAGTTGGAGTTGAATACACTGATTCTTACAAAACATAATACATTGGAGGACAATGAACAATTATAGTCTCAGGTTCCAGTTTAATCATTAGAGAACCAAGAACACTTATAGACTAAAATTTAGGGGTGTGAACATGGACATGTGCTCTAGGCAGTTTAGGACCAAGGGTAAGGAACTCAGACTCAGAACCTAAGTCATTTATGTCCCCCCTTGAGACCTAGGAAGCGTGAAGTAGGACATATTTTGTAATTCCTTTTGGATTTGTTGCATTTTTCAAAATAATGTGGAGAAGTGTTCAAAGTGTTCAGAACTAATCTAACTTGCTTAAGATGTATGGAGGTGCAGAAAGAACACATGTTGACACAGTATCCTAGCATGTTGGTACGACATATGGGTCTTGTGCAACAGGTCAATGCTATTGCATTTTGGAAGGATTTACATGGAAAATTCGTTTAGATTTTATTCCTTTTATTTAGCAATATGATTATATGATTTGTTAGATAGCTGTGAAGACCAAATTAGATTTAAAGGGATTTAAATTTAAATTTAAAAAAGAAACCAAATCATATCTTTTTGTTGAAGATATTTGTGGAAAAATCATATCCAACTGATTATATATTATTTCTAGGTGAAATCAAATCAAATATCAAAGGAGAAAAGCCCATGATAATTATGTTATAAAGTGAGCTCAAACCTACATTGGAAAGTGAAATTCTAGCACTTGAAACACATGTTACTATTGATGACTCAGCATCAGTATATTATGTCAGGGCAGATGTTACGACATTTGTTTCGGATACATCAAACTATAAAATATGCAGAAGAACAAATTGCATAATGATAAATAACACAGCTGATTTTTAACCTTTTTCGATGCAACATCATCTACTCTGGGGACTACCAAGCCAGAAAGAAAATTCACTATGATAGTACTAGTTTAAAGCCTAAACAGTCACAGTTTACAACTTCTCACATAATCACTACTGTGATACGGTGGGAGAACTGACTTGGGATTTGCGTTTGTGTTTGCAAATGTTTCGGTTTAGCAAGAGTCGCCACCGACTTTTTATTTTATCCTAAGGAAAGGTCAAAAAGCACAAGAAAGACATTTGAGATGTTTTCTTGGGTTTGGGGGGTAGATTATGAAAAGGGAAGGTGCTAGCACCATTTTCATCCATGGTTATCCATGGGTTCTTAGTTACTTGCTTTAGATCACTTGCTTTTGTTTGAATGTGCTTGTGGTGTGTGTTTTGAAAGTATTTTTGAAAATGGAACTTCGCAATGGTTCTTGTTTCTATAAGAACGCCAACAAAGTGTTTGTTTCGAAAAATAGTTCAAAAGTGTGTTTGTATAAAAATGTTTTTTTGTTGTGAGCAAGCGAGTAACTAGGAGCGAATCTACCTACTCGAAAGGTCTTAAATGTGCTTTTCCTTCTCCTTTAGATGTGGCTATCTTACCATTGATTTGGTAAGAAGCCCCATCGTTGGATGTGAAGGGACGGGCATGGGACGTTTGTATAGTCACAGAAGGCAACATATGGGACGTTTTAGCAATGTCGTTTTAGGGACTAGATCGTTTACCAAAGGCAACATCGAGGGTCATCGAGGGACTACGATCTTTTATCGAGGGTCTTTGCTAAAACGCCCATGCTCGAGGGACATGACTATTTTCCGAGGCAAAAAGTGAGATTACCCTAAAGGTGCATGTGTGCAAAGTGTGTTTTATTGCATGCATTTGTCTTTGATTAGGGGTTGTCTACTTGTTGGTTTTATCTTGCCATACACACCTAGTTACTAGCATTTGTACAAAGAAATAAAAATGCAAGAAATAAATATCCTACACTATTACAACCATATCGAAAGGCATAAAAAATATGAAGGAAAAAAATAAGATAAAAGTAAGAAAAAATGAGTGTCTTTCGACCCAGGCAGGAGCACCCTTCGATTTGCATTCTGCTGGCCTCCTTCGATTGGGGCTAGCACCAGTGAGGTCCTGTCCTTCGATTGGCCTAGAAGTCAGTGTATGGCGAAGCCTTTTGATTCTGCCTTGTTGCCTTCTTCGACTGGAGGTTGAAAGCAGTGAGGGAATGCCTTTCGATTGGACGTGGTTTGCCTCCTGGTTGTCTCTTTTGTTCGACCTGGAGAAAGAGGATAGAAGCCAGAAGCTTCGTTTCCTATTTCCTGTTTCCTGTTTCTTTCATTTAAAGCATTAAATGGCAACATGGCCTGAGGCCATGCTAGTATTTGTTTGGTAAACAGTTTAATAGTTAAAGCAAGTTCAGGTAAACAGAAAGCAAAACGAAAGGGTTATCTTTTAAAAACATGTTAACAGGGTGGAAACGAAAGGAACAATGGTATATACATGCTTGAAATGAACAAAAAGATTATTTACATGTTATGGCATGAAATGAAAGGTTCAAGGGTAAGAGGGACTTACCTTGATGGAGGCTTTGAATGGGTGTGGGACCTTGAGTGGAGGCCCAAGGTTCTAGATTTGAAAGAGAGGGCCAACAACTGTGCTTGGAATGCTGGATTCGAAGGAAGGAAAGAAACAAGTCTTATGTTTCTTTCCAAACTGGATTCAAAGGATACTGAAGAGTACTTGTTCTTCAGAATCGAAGGAAGTAAGTATGTGATTCTGGGTTTGTTCTCACAAGTGTTGAAGGGACTTG